TTCTAGGGAGAGATTCCAACTAAGCTGAGTTGTGTGGTATGAACATGGGGGTTTCTAAACTCCTCTCTGGTCTGTACTACTGGTGCTTATGTATGGCACCTAAGCGCTGTCATGCAGAGCCGAAGCGCTAGCAAGTAAGGTATGTAAAGATATATGTAAGTAAGGGTCCATGATAAAAATAAAGGTGGAATGATATGCAAATAAGAGAAATGGAAATATATGCACTAGAGAGCTTGGTGGACAGTGGATGGATGCTTCCGGATGGCTGGCACTATAGGGTGCTCAAGCGCGGGAAAGCGCGCGCACATATACATTGTGAAGCACGGGAAGTGTGCGCGCATGTTGCACATTGCGCGGGAAAGCTGTGCCTCATATAGGAATAGCTGCGGACAGCATGCAGAGTGATGCTACAAGTTTGTGCCATGTACTCCCTAGTGAAAACTGCCATATCACACAATGTGAGGCACGAGTCTCTACATCGTGCACTTTCACGCTGTTACAATTTATGCGGGTCCTCCGAGCATTCAGCTGGAGGCCCGGCTTGCCCTAAACCCTCGTTACGAGTGCCCATCACCAAGTGCAAGTTGATTCATCGAGTTTTAAATATTTTAAACAAGTTGAATCCATGGTCACACTTGGCTCAGGCCGAGTTCTGGTACTTTGCACACACACATCACCTCTGACGTATGCTCACTCTGTTGAGTCTCCTATAAATGCTGCATATAGCTCAGACAATCTGAGTTTCGATTGTTCATCTTCACTATCTCTCAGTGTACAAAAAAAACAATGTACTATACCTCAATTATTAGGGGAGCTCACAGTAGGTCACATTTGCTTTCACATTTGCTTTCACATTTGCTTTCATAATAAATCATTATTTTCACATATACAGCAAAATAAATAGAAACTAAATTAAATATACCATGTCTGGTGTATGGCTAGTATGTAATTTATATCCATATTAAGTTCTTGTGCAGGTTAAATCGGGGTTAAACTTGTTTAACCAAGTTGAATCAATGTGTGATGCTGGTAAGCCTCATGACTCAGTGTCATTCTTAGAGGCCTCTTTTCATCCTGGATATAAAGTGTCTAACTGACATGATCTGATTTCACATCACACACTTGTCCCTAAGCACTATCTGCTCATGCATGTCCTGCACTATCTATTTTTTGTCAAACTTTGAATTCAACACAGCTGAAATTTGGTCATACTTCCAAAACATATGTCAGATCAGAGCACCTCAAACAATAATGCCGCCAATATGTCGCAAACACAATCTTTGTTTAGGGGACCTGGAATGCGAGGGACTTCAGTTGAGTCTGACACTGATGGAGTGCATCTACCCCAACAAGATATGGCGAAGAGATGCCTTGATGTCATTGGAGATTTTAGAGCATGCAAGGGCATGAAATTTGAAGCTTCCTACGTCATCTTCACTATTATCAAAGAAAGTTTACCCCTTGGATCAGGTGAAAATCCTGCTACAGTTGCGGCTATCTACCTCGCCATACTCAATGAATGTGGGTCAGAGCAGGATCAAGCCAACTAAAGAGGAACAGGAGTCGCCAGAGAACAATGTTTGGTTGAACCAACATCAAACTTGCAGTTCAAAGAGGAGTCTCCAGAGACTAGGAGTTAGCATGTTAGCGCCGAGCCAGGAGAACCTGCTTGCAAGTAAGCAAAGCTTGACTTTACCTGTCTTGAACTTAAGCCATTGGTTCTCGAAGAACCTGCCAAGCCCTTATCACCCAATCTTAAACTCACTATCTGGATCCTTCAGAACTGGGTGCAAGACCAGAAACAAGCTAAGCTCAAACTCATGTACCATGAACAGAGCCTGGAATTCCATGAATCCGACTGGGCAGACATTGTTGCAGGATGGAGCATCAACATTGATGCTATCCACATGATATCACCACATCACGCGCCATCAACAAGCATAAGGAGATCATTGGAGATATTGAACTCACCTATGGAGTATCGGGGACAGCCACAAAAAAGATTACTACACAAGGGCAATGGAACATAGCATGGAATAGAGCAGCGCGAGCCCTCGAGTTCACTTTCCCTTTCAGACAGGCCGAACTTAATGCCTACTCCGAGCACATCAATGAACAATTTGACCAACAGTTGGAAAGTTACCATGGTCGAGTCCTCCAATATGACAAGTCAGTTAGGTTTAGAGTCAGAAATGCTCGAAGGTATGGATTGTCCGACTTTGAATGTTTCAAAGACATCTACAGCTCTCACTTCTCCACTGGTGGAAGACTGCATAATGACTCAGGAGAGTCTAGCAAGTCCATAGAGGGAGGACATGATTCTCTTGCCAAATGAGAACCATGTCGCAAATAGAGTAGTGGAGAATGCTCATGCAGTGCAGCCACTTGCTGCTATGCCCATATCTGCAACGTTGAACAGGACAGCTGGTTATGTGGACACTGTCATGTCAAATCAAAGCATAATGAGGACAGCAAGCCCAAATCAGCGTGAAGGGTATCTCAAATGTCCACGGTATCATCAAGGTTTGATTTGGTCCCTAATGGACATCTCGTTCAGTCCAACTGCTCGCTCTATGGAGTATGTGGATCCGGTACCAACAGCATCTTCTTATCTAGCCAATAGTGACGCAGCCCACACAGTCGCTGATCATCCAGAACTTCTCAAGATAGTGACACCAATCAATGTTAATCGGTTTCAATCCCTGTTAGTTAACCATCCTAATTAACTATTTGTTCTGTCAGTGTGTCGAGCCCTTCAAGAAGGTTTCTGGCCATGGGCCGATGCTTCTGATGAGGCCGAGTGCTCAAATGATCATGAAAAAGATATAAGACTGTAAGTATTGCTGATGTAGTAAGCTACAAGACATGTTACATACTACATATAAGTAGGATACTGCATGAGTATGGGTAACCTGTGTGGGTCATGGGTATGGGTATCACTGGGGTATGGGTTCTGGGGTTACAGTACCTGTACCCCTACCCATACCCCTGCTATGGCTTTTGATCAAAATCAGTGCCATGTAGATAAATTTCAACTACCTAAACAATTTGAAAACTATCAAACTCTAAAGAAAGTATCAAACATTAAAGACAAATATGAACATCATATGTGATACTCGCAAACCTTCATCACCTACTAGTACTGCATATCATGTAGCTCACCTTTGCAGCCACAGCCAAATAAGTTATCAAAATGACTGGGAAGGCCAAAGCTGCTCTAGAAGAGCAAACTATCAGAACTTTGTTGAAGAAGTGGAAAACCAATAGTAGTGAAGATGGTAGGAACACAAACCTGAAGAAGGCTAAAAAAACACGACTGCCTGGTAATACTTCTACCAATGGTGCAGGATCTATGAATGAAGATGAGCCAGTTAATAAAAATAGGCCTGTTGACTTCTCCTTGATACAAATATAGTAGTGAGATAGATATCACAAGATTTCTTATTGGTCCTTTGTATAATCTGAATTTATTAACTTTGGAAAGGCATTGAGACAAAGAAAGAGTTGTGGGTAAAATTATGAAGCTCTAGGGCAAAAGACTAGTTCTTGCTGATGACAATACCATTGACATCATGTGTGATCACCAGTCTCATGACCTCAAGAGTCTGGACCTCCACCAAAGTTGGTGTTTGAGAATTGCAAAGAATAGGTATCAGAAGTAAAATATATGAATGTGAGGTCTTTTTAGACTAAAAAGTAGTCAGCAGTCCCAATCAATTAAATTGTGACATTGGCAAGAGTTGAACAGAAAAGCAGCTCCCTAGCCAAGATCCCACACAGTATCGCAACAGGGACCAAGTTACCACTACACTATCCAGCTGACACTAAAGAAGGAGGTAACAAGCATATGTCATTCCAAAGGTACCAAAATTCCAAAAATGCCAATTATCAAAATTTTCACTACTGCTGGCCACTATACTATACTGGTAATGATAGACTTTAAGCATCTAGCTGGAAATTGATGTTTTATCAATGGACTTCAGACAGGATCAGATATTGATAAGGATCTTCTCACTTTTTAGGGCCATGGTGATGGTTGGAAAGTATAGTGGCCAGCAGTAGTGTGCAGTCAAATAGAGAGGTGTAAATTTACACCTGTAAATTAGCATCAATCAGCATATGAATCTCAGAAGGGCATTTTGGGGGTGCGAATTTGGGTGAATTTGGAGTTTGCCAATCAGGCATCTCCATGGTGGTGAATCTGTGAATCTCGCAAAATATCTACACTGGCTAGGCCAAATAGAAAGCATTTACAACCATGAATTGTGAAACAAGAAATAAACTACAGTTACTATCTCTTTATCTTCAAAATCTCCCCGAAACCATTCCTTATGCAGACCCTTCAATCCCACAGTATGGCTTTGATTTCTTTGTCTTGGATGATAAAAAGATTCAAGATTATGGTCCCATTGGTACAGTGAACCATGAACTTGAAGTGTGCATGGGTCAGCATAACAAAGGTCCTATTTCTTTTAAGGAGTATGGACCTAGCCTCAATGTTATGACCGATGTGCTTGGTGGCTACTTGGATCAGTATCATGAGTCTCCAGAGACAGTACAAAACCTAAGGAGTCAGTGGTTCATCAGCTAATTCAGCCCCTCTCAAACTCCATCGACCAATGGTACATTGACTTACCTGAAGTTGCTGATCTTTGAACCAGTGGTGCCAAGATACACCCTCTCCTTCTTGAGGGAACAAGGCGCTGTTATAAGGTCTGAGAAGGCGAAGTTTGGAAGGAGGATGTCTTGACAACTCCTGCAAAGATGCAACTTTGAGTCTGGTGCATTGTCAGTAAAAAATGTGGGACAACATGGAATGCCCCTCATTCTTATGACTAAATCATGGGACACCTTGCAAAGTGTAGTCACATTGATGAGAAGTTTCAGGATCGTGCAACTGAGTTCTTGGCCGGTGTTGCCAAAGGCTCCAAATTGTCCATTCCAGATGTGACAGTGGAACAAGGACTCAGATGACGGAGAAATCATGGTGATGACTCACCATGGCAGTGATGATCCAAAGAAGACTGCCGATGAGTCAGTAAAATCATTCAGCCCTTTTATCTCCAAGGGGAAGCAGGATTTCAAGGAATGAGTTGATCATGCTGTAATGAAGTTCATTGTCTGTTGTGGTGTTCCTCCAACAGTCATGGATTCTGAAGAATGGAAGCAGTTACTTTTGGCCCTGAATCCAAACTACCATATAATGAGCTCCACAGCACTTACAAAAAGTCTGATTCTCAAAGAGGCAGCAAAAATTAGTGAAGGTATCAAGGATTTTCTCCACATGGCTTGTCACCTCACAATCACCTTTGATGGTGGCAAAGTATGTCATCCAAGATCCCTCTACACCATTCATATTATGATCCCCAGTGGTCGAACATTCTGCATGGAGCTTAATGATGCTGTGCACAAGAAACACACAGAGAATACATACTTACTGCCCTCAACCGAGTAAGTACCTCAATTGGATGCAACATCGTCACCTGTCATTCATCCCTAAATTTGAATGATACGCAAAATAGGACCATACAAGTTCAGTGCCACATCTTCGGACAATGCAGGCAATACAAAGAAAGCTCGCAGGTTGCTTTGCGAGCACTATCCTCACATGCTCAATCTCCAGGATCCCTGTCATCTTCTTAATCTTGCCATAAAGGATATGTGTTTTCTCCCTGAGTTTGCTGAGGTAAGTGAGGCAACATATCTCTAAAAGTTTATTACTGAAACGGTGTTACTAGGTAATTCATCAAGTGCGAGGAGTTCTTTCATTCATGAGCCACTCAACTTTTGCTGCAGAGCACTTTGAACACCAATGTGCTCTGCTGAATATTGGATGAGGTCTTGAGGATATAGGTGATACTCAATTTGGTACCCTCTACTGGGCTGCTTTGTCAGTCCAGAGAGGAATACCAGCTTTTCAGGCAATCATTGAGGATGAGAGTCTTGGATTGAAATTAGAGGCATGAGTTTGATGCTGACAGTAATAGAACCTTAACGAACTTTTTGTCCCTGGAGGGCCAAGGTACTGTTTTGAGATGGACCTTTCCAAATTCCTGTCCATCATTGGTCCCTGGGCCAGAGGGTTGAAGTGCCTCGAAGGTGCCCAAATTACAGCTGACCATGTGTACTTCGTGTTCCTCAGCATAATGTCACAGCATGAAGAGGAATTTTGTGAAAACAAACATAGGCTACTGAATAGTACAATGGAATCTACTCGCCAGATTGGGAATGGGCATTTTGACGAGCTTATTAATGAGACACCACAGTCTCATGATTTGTATGTGACAACCTTTGTGCTGAATCCAGGTATGTTTGCTGTGATTGCTACACCATTCTGATCAGATCTAATCACGACATAGTATACCGAAATGCACTCATTTACAAGCAGGTCAACCCCATGGCAGGCCCAACTCTCACAATCACTAAATCTGTTACTGGCGTCATCACCTGTGCCACAAAGCCTCCTCAGGATATGATATTGTGTGCTGCCCTTGCCCTACAAAGGATTTTATGATATAAGTATGGAGATTCCTACGAGGTTGGAAAATATCCTGATCCAGTAGGTGAGATGAAGCTGCACAATCCTATGCTCACTGAGTTCAGCCCCATGGATGCGCTGGCTTCTTTTCGGACCCAATTCAAAGCCTATATTAAGAGTGAGGACCCATTCAATCGGAAGATGAGAATGAATGAAAGTGCTCTTGGCTAGTGGAAAGCATTGCAGAGAGACAAGTTAGCTAATGTTCTTGCAGTAAGTCTGTGAGGCTCCCATGTCCAAGACAAAACTAAATATTTTGACAGCCTCTTGCAATCAAGGCTTTTTCAGTGTCCCTGACATCCATGCCGGATGAATGCACCATGTCAACAATTAATTGGCTCAACTCTCTATGCCAAAGTAGGCAGGAAATTGGTACTCTTCAATATCATATTAAAATCCAACAATGACATCATTTTGATTCTAATGTGAGTAATATTTTTTTGCGTGTTAAGTTCTCAGTCTCATACTGACTACACAGAAACTAAAAACACCATACAAACCTCTCGTCAAGTGGCGTGATATAGAATCCACTATCCTTGGCAAGTGTTCTGCTGAAGATTTGCCTCCTGCTGGTTGAATGCCTCCTCCACCTGAAGCAAGGACAGTGGACTTCAACTCGGACTCAGAAGAGTTTGACGATGGTGCAGATTGGTTGGAGGGTCCAGCTGCTCTTTCAGAGTTCAGGACAGCGGAAAAAGATTCATTCATGCTTGCGGCATCCAGTGGTATTGATGTGCGTGCACCCTACCTACGTGAACTGCTTGATTCTGTCAGAAAACAACCTTTACAGCCGGGTTCCGCACCAACAAAGAAGGCCACAAGAACCTTGTCTCTGTCTGTCCCTGACCCTTCTGCTTGGGATGAGTGAAAAGTTGAATAACTCACCTAATTCACTGTAATTCACAGTAGATTTGACCTGATTCACCTGTAAAATAGTGTTAATTTACAATTATGGTAATCCACAGTGGTGAATTTGAAGGCCTCTGGGCACATTGTAAATTTACCTTGTGAATCTCAGACAGTTGCAAATTGACCGTACACTAGCCAGCAGTAGTGAAAATTTTGATAATTGGCATTTTTGGAATTTTGGTACCTTTGGAATGACATATGCTTGTTACCTCCTTCTTTAGTGTCAGCTGGATAGTGTAGTGGTAACTTGGTCCCTGTTGCGATACTGTGTGGTGTCTTCTTAGATAGTTGATCTATAGATAAACACCTATAAAACCAAGTATCTCCACGGTCAGCGATTCAGATGAATACCAATGACTGATAACGTGGTCGTTCGTGGGTGGCTTGCCTTGCTCCTAAGATACAGTCAGTAGAATATGGCTCGCACAAAAGTCAGTAGTCAGCGATCAGCAGTCAACAGTCAATCCAACAATGTGGGTATGAAACACAGTGATGAGAGAAAAACACAGAACTCGGTCAGTCAGCGATCGACAACAACAACAACAATCACAACAACACAGACAACAACAAAACAAATCAGGAAACACAGTCACTCTAACAATATAGAGATGATACAGACAAACAGACACTCTTCCTAACACTTCACACAGCAACAAGAATTCGTACACAAACTTAGTGTAGCAAGTTGTGCGGAGTTACAATGAGAGTCCCCCTCAATACAAAAACAGGTGAAACTACCGTCAGGCCTAGTCAAGCCTCTGTAGCACTCTTAGCCTAATATTGAACCTGCTGCCAAGGAACTCACAATGAGTATTAAACAGACTCAGGAACGGGCGACCTTGGATTTCAATACCAAGTCCCCTTTTCAATAGCTAAAGTCTAACTCGCAATGACTACCCTCGATCGGTATGACACACAGATGTAAGAGGTCAGGTATCACCGTCAACACCTAAAGTCTCCCCACTAGACTATCAGAGTCTTCTGTGGACAAAAGAGACAACACCAAACTTCTGGGTAAGAATGAGACTGAAACTTTGGTACTTGAGAGAAAGTTGGTAGGTTGAGACCACAACAAAACAAGACTGCTACAACAAAAACACGAACACGATCACGATCACAGAGACTGTTAGCAATACCGATCTCAAAGCAAACAGACAGCGATCAGAGAGATGGTCAGTACAGTCAGTCACCAACACACCACACACTTGAGACAGAGAGAGAGAAACAGAAACAGAGAAACAGAGAAACAAAGAAACAGAGAGAGAAACAGAGAACACAAGCTTCAGTCACGAATCTCAGACACGATCTCAGAGAAAAAAAGAAAAACAATCACAGACAGATTCACAGACAGAGACACAGACAATGACACAAAAAGAAACAGAGAAACTCAGACAGACAATCAGGAGAAAACAGAAAAAGAAAGACTAGTCTTGCTAGTCGTCAGACACAGCGAGCTCAAGGTATGTGCTAGATGTTCAACACAATGAGCTCAGAAGTGTGGTGCTGGTTGTTGAGCACAGTGAGCTCCAACCTTGAACTGCACTTGCTGGTTGCCGATTCACACTTCACTCACAATTTTATTCTGAGAAGTAAAAACAGTGGGGCACTGCTTGTTTTATTGGGCAAAAAGCTGGTCCTTATATAGACAAATTTGGTGGCTATACTACTAGTTTCTCGTACTTAAAGTTGTAACTTTAGTTCGATAGCACCAAGTCACACGGTATCTTTGAGTCAAAAGTAAATATCCATAACTCTAGTTGGTATAATGATGAGTCAGCAAGAGCTGCGTATGGCTCATGGGTCAGGTGACCCTTGATGACTCAGCTAGACAAGAGTGAGAAATGATTACATATTGTGTACATATGTTTGTAAAATCTGTGGCTAATGACTTGATTGGTAGCATAATTACATAGGACGCGTGTTTAGCAATTTGTAAGCTTTCCCACAGGGTAATCTTATGCAAACATATTTTTCACAGTCACCTGATATGTGTCATGGCTGACTAAGCAAAACTCATCGCAGGAATAAATGTACAAAAATATTCAATCCGCTCACGTACAAACTCGTAAAAGTGAAAAAAAGTGAAAAATATTCCCTTAGCCTCAGTCTGACTTCAGGTCACAGGGAAAATGATTTCATAGTGATTCTAGGGCATAGGGGCTCATAGGAGAGTATCGGTCATCCATGCACCGAACCAGTTTGGTGCAGGTCAGCGGGATCTTGGCTAGGGAGCTGCTTTTCTGTTCAACTCTTGCCAATGTCACAATTTAATTGATTGGGACTGCTGACTACTTTTTAGTCTAAAAAGACCTCACATTCATATATTTTACTTCTGATACCTGTTCTTTGCAATTCTCAAACACCAACTTTGGTGGAGGTCCAGACTCTTGAGGTCATGAGACTGGTGATCACACATGATGTCAATGGTATTGTCATCAGCAAGAACTAGTCTTTTGCCCTAGAGCTTCGTAATTTTACCCACAACTCTTTCTTTGTCTCAATGCCTTTCCAAAGTTAATAAATTCAGATTATACAAAGGACCAATAAGAAATCTTTTGTTATCTATCTCAATACTATCTTTGCATCAAAGAGAAGTGCAGGATTATAATTCCTCCTGATATTCAATTCTCTAATGGGTCACCAGTAGCATGAAATGCAAGGATGAATATGAGAGGTGAATTTCAAGAAAATATAGTTATTCTAGGTCAGTCCTCAGTTTGTTTACTTTACACAGACTATGCCAATCCCTGCTCTCTTAGCCACTTGTCAAAGCATCCTACTGTTAGTGTTGCAAGGATAGGTGAAATTAAAATGGAAGGAGAAGGTCACTCTTCCATCCAGCTCAGCATAATATGATCATACTGAGTCTAAGAGTATATTCAGTGACTCAGAAGACAGCTCCACCTTATCTGAATCAAGCTTATCAGAGCCCCCTTGCAAGACCAAATATCATTAGGAGAGCTCACAGTAGGTCCCTTTTACTTTCACATTTGTGTTTGCTTTGGCTGACATATGAGGGACAAGGGCTAGCAGTATGTTATGTAAGTGGTTAACTCTCCACCATGTGGTTTGTATGTAGGGAACTGCATGTGTACACTGTAGCACTCAAGCTTGTGTTAGGCTCATATCCAGCTGATGCACGATTCATGCCAAATGCCCGTTGCATGATAATCACTTCCCGCTCAATCTGATGCTTTGACAGTGGACCCAATATTTTCCCATGCACTTGTCCTATCTGTGCCCTGTCCTGTCTTGCTAGCCCCACTAGGTGTGTAGTTGATTATTTCGCACATTACTCACATTGCAGCAAGCACTATTACATGTTTTCCCATAGTCCGCAGGGTCTCATGTTTATTTACATGTACTTCGGACCCAAAATATTCCACAGCTACTTTTGCCTACGGGTCCTGCATTTCTATGTACTTACATATATATTGGACTGACCTCGAGCTTTATTCAGGATCCAGGTAGTGGGGAGCCATTGTAGAAAGTACACTCAGTGTTGGGGAACAGCAACTTATATTAGTGCACTCGAAGTACCTGTAGAAAGTACGCTAAAGTTCAAGTAAGTACGAAGCTGTGTGCAAGAAAGACAAGATGCGCACCTCAGCATTGGGGAACAACAACTGAGGTGCACGAGCAACGAGGCAAGATACTTATGCAAGGAAAGACGGAGCTTGAATGCAATACAAAGTAACAGCCATGTGATATGAAGCAGTAGCCATATGGTACGAAGTGGCGAAGGTTGCATCCCAGACTCTATTGTAATGTTAATCAGTCCGAAAGAAGGAAAATGATCGCAAACAAATGACACAAGGATTCTCCAACACACCCCCTCAACCCGCCACGAGAGACAGACCCAAGCGATGAGCCACGAATGTGGGACACAGAAGCACTTTGGTAAAAATATCGGCACTGTTGCAATGAGTGGAAACCCAGATAGGTAAGAAGGTGCCAGCCTCGATGTGCTTTCTGATGAAATGGTAGCATAAGTCGATGTGTTTCGTCCTGGTGTGATTAGCGGCTTCTGCGGATAGTGCAATGGCACCCGTGTTGTCGGCATAGAG